GCCTCCAAGAATCACGTATTAAAGAGTTCAGAAATTTTCTATAACCATCGACCAATTTCAAAACAGTTTTTTAAACACTTCACTATATTTTAAACTACAATTTCCAATTAACAATTCATCTACTGTCACAGTGAAGATATTTACAGAGAAACCCAATCCATTACATTTCCAAGAATCGAGATTATCGCGAGAAAATGTTATTTTAGTTTGGTGCCATTTTTCTAGGAGGCGCTGGGGGTGTTAATTTTCTCCGGTGACGTCATCAGGAGATTTTCCCTCTCCTCCAATTTGCTCTGTCAGTCGATTGATGATCTACAGTATTGGGTACACAGTACGATGAGCTTCAATTGAAATGAATTATTTCAGTTTTGTTTGACGTTTCATTATTAATTATGTATCGTGTAAAACGATGATTTATTGAACTGGGCGGGAAATATAGTTTTGTTACTGGGAGAGACGTTTGGCGGAATGAATGGTTATGGTTATGGTCTTGTGTTATTGATAGAACTTAATGATGAATATGAAGTGAATTTGTTTTTAGTCGCAATAACATGTATTATTATAGTATAAATATTTTGTTTACGGGCTGTAATGTCTCTTAATAGAACTCAAAATGTTTCTGCGTAAAACTGTGTAAAAAGAGTCAATACGTTTTAAACAGTATTTAATTATTGTTGTAGTTTGTTAAAGCGATCGACGAGATATCTTATCCAATGAAACTTTAAAAACAAGAAATATGGTAAAATTCTATGTATCAGTAACAATCATAACTATAATAATATTCTCTGAAGTGAATGTTATTATTTTTCCATATAAAATAAATACGAATTTATTGAAACATTTCACTCGATTACCAAGAGTTTTGAAATTGAAATAACAAACAGCACTTTGTCCTTTATTTAATTTTCGAATCAAAATAAATCTTTTAACCATACGTCAATGTGTTACGAAATGTAAACAAAGTTTGAATATTTTCACGAAAGGTATAAATCAAATTATTTTGAAAAGAACTAGCGTAGAGTAGAGTACCTAAATTGTAATTTCTTTAGTAAACTTGTTTGCAGCATAAAGTTGTTTTTTGTCGTAGGTTTAACCGACGAACGGAGACTTGGAGGTCGGTGACGTGGATATAGAAAGCTGGATAGTGTTGTGATTGATTAGGTTGTATGTTGATATATTTGCCATTGAGATATTTGAAGTGAAAGTAGGGCTGACAACTAGGCAAACTACGAGTGCTACAATGCTGTTCTATAGTGGAAGTAGATTTAATTTGATTTACGATTTGTTGAAACCATCCAAATGCTATATTTGGATGGTTTGACACTTAATAGGACAATGGAAGTTTATGCTGTTGCTGTTTTATCATATTTTAATTAATCAATTAAGAGCTTAAGAGCTGTCTTTTAAAATTCAGAACCGTAATACATAATCCAGATATATCGTAGCAATATACCGTCGTTATTAGAAAATGGGCTACAAAAAATTAGTTACAATCACAATCTCTTGGGAAAATGTTAGATAATTCTAAAACACGGGCTTAGATTTTTGCAACATCTAGTTCTACGGTATCCTTGTGACAAATATTCCTTCAGAAATTAATTTCGACCAGATTTTTAGTTGCCCTTCAGCTGTAGTACAAGTTGGGAATAAGTCACAGACTTTCTCTAATACTTGATTGTTTTAATTAAAGATTTGGAGCGGAATTAACCTTTAATATATACTTGCTTCATCGTCTTACTATTGTATTATAGGTATTGCTACATATTATTTTGATCCTTTTGATACGCAAATTGCCTATAGGTTGTCGTGAAGTACATCTTGAATTTTTAATTTTGGCTATATTTAGATACCTACGTATGAAATTGCACTAATACAATAAAATAAATTATCCGTATTCCTCCATACCTGCGTTGAATTATACTTTTATATTATCGTATGCTCCTTGAGAAGCATAACTGCAACATATTAACCTAGATCCATAAAGAGATTCAATAAACTGGCTTGTAAGAGAGCTCGTGTAATGTAATCGTGGGGAATCCGTGCTCGCATAGTATCAGTACAAATAGGTTAGGGAGCGGGGCAAGCTTAAAATAATAAAATCTGTCCGTTTAACCGAACCATTGTGGGGCAAATAGTGTGCGTTGTTAGGGAGCGTTTAAATAGACACTGTACTTGCTTGTACAGGCTAGCTGGTAATGAGTTTTTGTAGAGAGAAATGGGAATTTAACGTGGTTATTAGATCTTAGACTGTAATGATGTCTGTCAATCAGACAACACGGTTAGAGCGGTGGCTGGGCAATCGGCTGCCACGCAACGTATCGCGGGTTCGATTCTCGCACGGAGCAATACTTTGTGTGATCATCAAATTGTTGTTCTGGGTCTGGGTGTCATGTATGTGAACTTGTATGTTTGTAAACGCACCCACGACACAGGAGAAATTTCTAGAGTGGGGATTGCCCCATAAACATTGGTTTTTTTTACATAAACATTGGTTTATGTAAAAAAAACGATTGAGTTTGTTAAGTGTTCAATAAATTTCAACATTACATAATGTAATATAATAAAACATGATATAATTAATCACCTTAATAATTTTCAAAGGGCGCAGAGGTTCACCAGTTTTATGTTATGAGTTAAATGAAATAGAGAGTGAGCGTTTTGCTATACATTGTGCACAATACTAGAATAATGTTTATCGACTCCTGAATCAATCACACATTTACCTTAAAATAGAAATCTGGTCCTTCCATTCGCTTTACTTTCCAAACACTCTCCTCAACCACTAGCCTATACCAAACGCTCCCAAAATCGCGGTCGCTTGGGAAATTACGCGGGGCAGAGGTAGCGCGGAGTATCAACGTAACATGTCACCCAAGGTCACCACGACCTGTACCTCGATATTACGTGCCTATGTGACAACAGAAAACTAAATTAACTTTACTGTCTTTTAATCTAGGTCTACATTCATTCACTCTTCTGAATGTGTTAGATTGTAAAGCTGATAGTTTTAGAGAAGGATTATGATTAAAATCTAGAGCTATGTGGATGAAACATACATATGTAACTCGTCAAAATTGGTGTCACGTAAAAGGTATACTTTTATGCCCTATACTGTAGGGTCCTGGTAGACAAAGACTATTTAAGTGCCAAAGGTATCTCATATTGTTGTATGTTACCTGAAAATTATATTGATCTTTTACTTCAGTATAATAATAGCATTTGCAGGTACTAATGTAACGATAAATATTTGTGATAATACAAATACAAACATTAAGATACGATCAGTTTCAAGCCATGCTAGAGGCTCATATTCATGAGCAGCAACCGCGACCCGCGACGTGACGACTTTTGCGCTTCGAGTTCCTCGTCAAATAAGTACGTGAGTAAGCCGAAAAATATAATAATTAATTTAGTATGGCTCACGGAAGTTATAATAAAAACATTAAGACATTGGGCTTGATCCGTCGCGCGACGATCTCCGGCCACCGTAAATGCGGATCTGCTGGTGGTGAGCAAGGGTACGTTGCCGTCCGTCCAGAACCAGACTCTTGCGTAAGGCACGTCGCGTTTTGCGCGCGCCTTAAAGAGCCAACAGACCACCACAGATGGGACTCAATAAAGTTGATACCCGATACAGAGCCACAGAAGGCCTAACGGGTTGCCGGGGCTTCGGCTCGAAGAGCAGGAGTAGGAACAGGGTGGTTTTTAGTCAGTGAGAGTTTGACACTCCCTCTCGCCTAACCCATGCGGCAGAAGTCATTAGATGATTTTCCCACATCAAAAAAAAAGTGGGATTGGTCCCAGCATGACATGTACCCTTTTGCTCATAACTTTAAGGTTAAAAATAAAATGTCTTTTATTATTTCCTAAATGAGTATCAATTGTACAATTGACGTATTTTTGCTAAAGGCCAGGAATTAGATTCACACGTGGGTGTTCGACAGTACTAGACCTAAAATAGCCCGCTAAATATAGAAAAGGTACATTTCATAGAAATTTTGACAGCATTAAAACATCTTCCACAAGATTTTCAATAAAATATTATTTGTTACCTTTGCAAACAAATTTCTTCAAAAAACATTGATATTTCTTGAGTTGACAGTTAAGTTGTTATTTTTAGTGAAGCGGGCCTCGAAAAATATGAGACGAAAACTTTCCTTTTTTAATATTTCATTATGAACAGACGTAAAATAAATGTTTCTAAGGGGTTATCCACTACCAGTACTTGTCCGTAGCCATCTGGACCCTGTCTACCTACCTCTAGGTATTCATTAAAACCAGTTTAGTTAAGTAAGTGCGAAATCATTACAAATAACTTTCCCTTTCGCATTCAAGCGACGATTTACGACGCGACCAAAGAATACATAGGTACTTAAATTGCAGACATAAAGGTATAAACCCACTGAACACCATAACACAAGACCACCTTACCTGAAGACTACAATAACTCAGAACTGAATCATTTAATCACACTTTCATCTTATAACAGTGTCGAACCTTCTAGAAACCACGTAAAACCACCCTTTAACAATGTAGCAACAAGTTTGACAACAAAACAGCCCTCCAAAGGCCTGGGATTAATTTTAAATAAGCCTCGTAAGACGTGCGTAGAATTATTTCTCACATAGACCAAGTTATCAAGGCTAGGTGTCTCTAGGGCTCTCGTGACGTCGGCCAGGGCTTAGCCAAAAAGGATTTTTGGGATTGAGTTAATAATGTTAGGTTGGATACGATATTTCTGGAACTCTATTGATGTATCGTTGAATAGGAATCCTTGTACGAGTCCCAGATCCTTGAGCCAATTCCCGATAATGTACCCAATTTATTGATAAATATCGCCTTTTAATGCTTCTAATAGTATTTATATACAGAAAAATATAATTTGAAGATGCTTTATAAATGTCTAATATTAACAAACAACGAAATAGTGCCAAGGTACAAACACAACAAGTATAAAACTACTTACAAATTAGAAGCAAACTTCAAGGAATTTTGCACTACGTTTATTATATTTCTTAAACATGGTTTAGTTTGAAAAATGTTAAGCTTTGGCTCCTTTTAGTGGTAAGTTAGTTGGAGTTATTAATGGGTGAGATCAAAGGGAAATATTCACGTTTCTCTGAAGCTGTTACATTACTAAAGTGCCTGCTTGCAAAGGTAGTCCATTACGGCTACATTTAGATCTCAGGTTCCCCTTTTTTGCATAATTTTTAAAGTCCGATATATTTAGCTAGTCACCATTATGTTTTTAGTCGAGAGTTCATACAGCGAATGTATTTTGGAAACAGTATTCTTTTTCAACTAACATATTTTCGGCAAGTTCAGATGAATGTAGAACTTCAAACCTGACTTGTTAGTTTCATAATTACACTGTATGGTTTCATAATTACACTGTATGGTTCTTCTAAAATTATTTTGTTCGACTTAGTTCTTTGCAATGGTCAAATGTTATACCTTTTTCTATTTAGGTTTGCAAATGGATGAAGACAGAGCGTTGAGTATTACAAAAAGAAGATTCATAATAACATCTTGATTTTTGAAGATGTATGAGTGGTAGATTAGAATTGATCGTACTCTGCCGTCACCAAACCACAGTAGAGGGAACCTGACATCAATGTTTAATGCATGTTAATTGAACGCGTTATCATTAAACGAAGGAATATTTCCCGATATCTGGTTGAACTTCTTTGCAATGACATCACATTTTTTGAAGTAATTCTTCAGGAAAGTCTCGTAATCTATCAGGCTGTTGTTGAGAAAGACGATCCAAGTCACCATGCCCTGGTATCTGTACATTTGGGGATCTGGCTGTTCTTCCAAAATGTACATTAATCTCGGAATGATCTTATGTATTAAGGTATACATTGAGGTTTCAGTTCTATTGGTTGTGGATTGATTTCTGTGGTTGTGCTCCCGGCCCTGTAGCTGCCGAGGGTCCTCTGAGACGGGGTCTTGACAGTGTGCAGTGAGGTCGTCCGATCTCCACACAGAGGTATTTCTTGATTCTCTGTCTGTTGCGCTAGATGTTGCGCTTGACGGCGTTCCACTGAAAGCGATAATAGAATAAATTCTTCTAATTTCCCACCATAATTTATAATTTGTGTACCTATTATGATTATCGCGTACATTAGGTGATGGTTTCTTAACATTTATGATACTCACGAATTCTACGATAAATAGCTTCAATTTTTCGTTCAAAGATTGTGCCCATCAGAAGGAACATAACTACAGCCAATATGACCGGGCCGAAGTACCACCATTCCACAGTATTTTGGCGTTTCTGTGGAAAATGGTATACAGCATCTTAGGGTCACAGTTACAAAAATGGGCATAATTTATATCATAAGGTTATTTTAAAAAAACATGAAAACAGAAATAAAAATAACTAATTAATGCATAACTTCTAAGAAGATTTAATCTTCAGTTTAGTTACTTTAATTAAGAGATTTAGGATATTATTATTCTTTAGTTACATGAAAATGGCTGGCAATAGCCTTTGCATTTAGCGTTCAGCGCTCTGATTGGCCGGCTCCAAAGAACCAACCAATAAGAACGCAGAACACGGTTTCCTGTACTACTCATTTGTCACCATCCTAACTTCTGCAGTTATCACAATCATACAAGTATACAATATACACACATTGGTCAGAAGCCAGGCAGCAGCGCTCTCTGATAAACGTGAGGCTTTAAAACTGCGATCTGCAAATCGCCTGGCGAGCAAGGACATTATGGCAAACCCTCTTACGTAGACATCCATTGTCCCAATTGCCACGGGCTGTCGATGTTGATGATGACGATGAAAAAAATACAAGAAAAAGGTATTGTTAAAAGAGTTTTTGACCTTACCAATACGCTTTCGGTCGATATTATAGGTGTGTTCATATCAGAGTCCAAGAAGCTCTCAATATAAATCTGCATGTATAAAGTTTGCGGTAGTACATTTTTCAATAATCTGCAATGTTATACCTTGAGTGGTTATTTTGGTTGAATAGGCCTTATAGACTTTAGCATGGACAGGTTATAACAGTCCACTGCTAGATTATAGGGCTCCTCTACATAAGGGGGTTTCTCATATTCAACTCTCATGTTGGAGATCATAATTTTTTTTTATATTTGTTTTGCCGACGTTTGACCCCTATCTCGCCTGGTGGTAAGCAATGATTAGGCCTACGATGGAGCACGTCACATAACGGGCGTTAATACCCTTCAAAAAACTCAGACTCTAGCAAAGAATTCCACTCATTGGCAGTACGCACAAGAAAGCTTGATGCGAAGCGCTTCGTGCGTGTGGGTGAGACATCTACCATCAAATCAAAGATCTTAATGCTAAACATACTATAAAGTAGTAGCGTAAGTGAGAATATAATGTAATAACGCTACCACTACTGCAACATGTGGAAGCAAATCTACAGCATTTTCACCATATAGGGTCTTTGAACTAACCAGATGAAGTCCTTAGGTTTTCTCTTTGAACTGTTGGCAGTTCGTTACTTCTTGTTATCGAAATACTGCTTTGTGCCCATTTTTATTATTTTTATAGATTATTTTCTAAATACAGATCTTGCGGGCATTACCCCGGCTATTGTTATGACAGCTGCCAAGTTATTGACATTTACTGAATGTTGATTTTTTTTTCATTAAGGAGGTTTTACTCCAAATTCATAATGATTTTCCATTCGAGCACCAATTCGTTTCATTATCAGACTAAATACACCAAAGTGCATTTTAAAGCCCAATCTTCCTTCCCTAAAATACCGCAATGTGCAAATAAATTATGGTTACAGAAATTAATCTACATATATACTGAAATTACTTAAAGACACTTACAAATTAATCAAAAATAAGATACACAACATGGTGTAAGGTTGGGTGATTGGATGAGTGTAATGAAACCAACGTGCTCCGAGAATACACTGAATATATTGAATATAGGATGCTTAATCTTACGACTACTACACCACAATGGTACACCAAAAAATAATCTTATTTATTCTCTTTTACATAAAAATCAAATAGCAAAATATGCAACAAACCTCCCGGTTATACGATCGTGAATATCGCGTGCACCCGGCTGTCAGAGCCGGGTAACCCGGATAAAACCCGGTTGCAAAGCGGAAAGAAACCGTAAAGATTTAACAGACGGTTTATGGGAGAAAGAAAAATTGTGGTTGAAGGAAAGTTTCACATAATGATTGTTACGTCTTTGGTATTATTCTATTATTTTCTTTGATCGGCAAAAGATTACGAGAGCTTAGCGAGTTATGTGAGGGACGGGAACTGATTTTTGAATCTCCAGATTTATCTTTGCTCGACTTACGATTTTATTAAATTTTAATGGAAATGTTTTATATTTGTGTTGAGATGAAGTAATAACATAACGCCTTATCCATAGGTTTTCTTTGATAAAGTTGAAGTTTTTATCAAGACGTGGTTTTTGGTAGACATGTAACACACAATTTTTGCATAATTGTAGACTAAAATAAACATCTAGAAATATGAAGAACACTAATCATAAACACATCGTTCCCTTGTGTAACAATCGCAACTTGAATAAGCATTAAGGCCCCAATACATTATTTACTCACCCGGATTATCCGGCACATCCCCGTATCATCTACAAGAGACCCTCAATAAACAACATCGAAACAGTTACATGTTTTACACAAATATCCTCAATATCGACTAAGTTCACATTAGAACCTCTTAAGATTCGTCCCACGTTGGGCGCCAACAAAAACAATCTACACGCAACAAATCCGACGAATGTTCGATGGAAACCGGCTAAAACTGGTTGTAACTGGACCGGGCCGGTTTCGACCGGATTATACTAACGGCTCCTAATTGCTACGTGGCTGGAATAGGAACGCGGTGAGAAATGCCTCAACTAATAGTCTCGCTGTTAATGTAGAATTTAGAATGGTTTATTTAAATGGGGTATTTTATGGTTCTGTTTTATTCTTTGGGAAGTTTATGGGGTTGGGAAGGAATGGGTTTAAGTTAAAGGGTTGTTTGCTTGCAACGTTGGTTGGGTTATGTGGTTTAATAGCAATTAGTGACTTAACTTACATCTTTCTTTTCACAATGACTACACTTTTGTAGTTGGATTTTATATAGAAACTCCTTTTTATATATGAAGATCTCTTTTCAGTAGTCACTCTTCAAATCATTAGCAATTAGCAGTTCTATTCAAGATCCTAGCTTCCCACGTGTCTATCACTTAACATTAGATAACAAAAACTCTTTATACGGTTACCAAACGATACCTCTCCTAGCCTCTCGCGTGGAGATAAACTTAACTTACCCACAAACGATGTTAATTGCTCGTTAGGTACTACTCGCACCTAGGGCCAGGGAGCGCGAACCTTTTATATTCACGTGCCAATTTCAGTAATGAAATATATTTTATTAAAATTGTCTTTAGTGGGTTAGTGGAGTTTAGGAGATGGAAGGCATAGTGGTTCGGCAACTAGCTGATGCGCTACGTGTTGTGTGTTCGATTCTTTGTTTTTTAATTTCATCCGCATATGGCTGTATCAAGTGAAGGTATGATGTGTATGTGAATAGCTGTTTGTAAACATACGTCATAGAATAAAATTGTAGAAAGGACACACACGACCCATAATAAAAATAATCGCGTTGTAGGGTCATTGTACCTCCATTATCCATTTAAACTTACTTTAACCTATTAATCTCAGATTAATTTAAGTTGTTATTTTGTTAATTTAAAGTTGTTAACTCTTGTCATTCTTGTACAACCTTTTTATGCATGTGGTGTTTACCTTCAAGTGATTGTAACACTAAAGTATGTATCTATTGTATGAAACCTAATAATTGATCTAGTGTGTGTTGTGAACAATTGTTGGTGAACCAAAAAAAATAAAATACAAAACAATAAAAAATATCCTCTTGTCTGTTGAAAGTTGCGGCCATAATGTGTTTGATACCGGGAGCTGGTGTTACAACAGATAAAAGGATTTCAATGTTTTGAAAATAACTCAAGAGTAGGTAGATACGCAACTATCAAAGAAAATCAGTTTTACTTTATTTAAGTTTGGACTTGAACTTAAATCTGACCATCGACGCAACCAATTACTCCAATCTACGACTTGACAATACATCGCAAATAAAAAAGTAAAGCAGTCAATATTTTGACAACCTCTGGCACAGGATATCTGGTGCTTCCTCCAACCAACAGAATTATAGGACGGAAGGATTTTAATGGCAATGTATTTTCGGTCTCCGAAATGAAATTCATTGTGGCCAAAAATGAGTCGCCATTGTTTGCTGGGATAAAAACAGCAGGAAAATTACCGCGGCCGACTCGATTGTGCCTGTCATTGTAGGCTCACTGTTCAACAATATCGTTGGGGTAAGAAACTTATCGAATTTTGTTCAGCAATTTTTACTATATTGTGTTTTAATCTATACGTGCCTTCTATACGTGCAGCCTGTGGGCTGACTACACACAAAAGTCTTACGGTGCCCTTCGAGTTCAATTTAATAATGCGTTTAGGATGCTGATGGGGCTGGGACGATTCTGTAGTGCATCAGGGATGTTTGCTGAACATCGGGTGGACTGCTTCTACGCTACGATGCGTAAGAGATGCGCATCTCTGGTGCGTAGAGTGCGATGCAGCGCCAACAGCGTCCTCAACATGATCGCGAGTCGGCTGGACTGTGTCTACATCAGTCATTGTTCCGCCATTTCTCACGGAATGGCGCAATAGTGATTGTTGGGATGAATCATTTATTTTGTTTTGTTGTGGGTAATTTTAAGTATCACTAACACTAGTCTATAAGAACATTGTTACTAACAATTTGGACACAGTGGTCTGAAATAAAAGTATTATTATTATTATTATTATAATCTACGAAGACGTGTGTAACATTATTTACGTGCACCTGCACAGGTGTGATAGATTCTTGTTTCATTATTTATAGGGGTTTTATTATTTATTATTACTAGACATAATAGGGTAGATGACTAATTATTATTTTAATGTCCGTCTGGTAGATAATTTTAAAACATTACACACGTATTTTTTTTTACAGAAACGGATAGTTTCGACGATATATTGATTTGAAATGTCGCGTGACGTCACTTCTATGTACATTATATGCGTAGAAATGACGTTTTAGCCACCACTCCTAAATTTTAGTTAGTTATATCTAAGTATCATTTTATTATGCAACAAAATAAAAAAATACGTGTCTAATATTTTTTTATTACCTAACTGACGGACTGATTAGATTTTTAATTTTCATACCCTATCATCATTACTATTCCAAGTTCCTTGCTATAATTATTATCAGAGCCAAACGCCTGATATATTGCTCAACCCGAGACTCGACTCCTGCTGACGCATTGTCACTTTATTTCACAGAGTTTTTGGTATAACTTTGTAACACGTGGGATATTGTTCTATGTTGTTTGTGTAGATATAGTACAACTATGACTGCCGCGCAACGTGTAGCGGGTTCGATTCCCGCACGGAGCAACTCCTTGTGTTCTCCACAAATTGTTGTTACGGGTCTGGGTGTCATGTGTTTGTGAACTTGTATGTTTGAAAATGCATCCACGACACAGGGATAAATCCTAGTGCGTTTAAAAAAATAAAAGAACGTGAATTGGTCAATGATTATTGGATACCGAAATTGAGGGTTTTTTTGAGTTATGATTATGTTTTTATAACAACTATCGTGAGACATACTAAATTAACAAAATGTCAGTTACACGTACGGTACGTAAACTTTGTAACATTATATTTTAGACTAAGTACCCACGTTGACATTGCATCATATTTTATTATTTCTTTTTGTATGGCTTATATTTGATCATTTTAGCATTTTTTTTTTTTACAATTATTCTAAAATTTTGACTGTATACCTAGTTATGTATTTGACGACATTCAAATCGCATTATAATTTAATTTGCATGCCGAAAGGTAAAATGTACTGGGTCAATTAACTTTATTCCAACTAATATGTATACCTACATTATTAGCAAATAAATGATTTCTTTCTTTCTTTCTTTCGCGATACAGGATTGTCCTAGTGCAGGCATCTAACTATTTGAGGTCAATTGTACGTAATTTAGATATATTTTCGAATTTTGCATTTTTGTTATTGTGAATAAAGTTTTATTATTTATTTATTTATTATTTCAGTAGGCTGCGCGACGTCGCCGCGACCTTGCACGCTGCTCATGAGGAAGAACTCCTCTGTGGTTCGAAACTAGTAGAGCTTTTCTCAGCATATTCACGTGGGTAACCCGAGATTTTTAGTTAATTTATCATTATGTTATTGTGTAGTTGCAATATTGAACACACCATGAGAATACTACTGCCTGGTTTTTCGTTCGTATGACTGCCGCATAAGCATTCTATTTTTTTACTGGTATGTTGACGTCGTTGGTCTGGAGTTCGATTTCCTGGTTGAAGAAAATGTTTAAGAATGTAGTTTTTATGTACCTACTCCTACTCAGAATTAAATAGTATTTAAATACATGGTAGTGATGTAACATCTCTCCGGCGCGATCTCATGGCGGAATGGCAGCAACGACTGTCGCAAC